TAATTTGTTTTGGAAAGACAATAATACTCATCTTCTAAGCTCACTCAACAAACTCTTACGAATAAGTGTCGGATACAATGCTAAAGGATTAGGAGTATTACATTTTCAATAAAAGAATACAAGTTTAACATTAGAAATAATATTATTGAGATGAACAATTATAAACCCTAAATATAAACAATAGAACCAACATGGTCTCAATCAATCTTTAAGTGACAATTACATTTCCATTGAGAAGATAAAAAAACTTTTTACTTTTAATTTGAAAATTGCCCATTGAGAAGACCTTAGTGGTAAACTTAAAGATTTTGTTTAAAAAAGAGCTTTAGAATCCAGGGTTTTTATGCTTTTCTTCTTCTTTTTCTTCTCACTGCAAACATAATCAGTAGACGTTAGTGCAGAAAGTTGAGTTTCTTTTGTTGTCAAATCATAAACAACTAATGGCAATAATTTAATTTTGTAATAAATAAAACAACAGTAAAATATGTACCTTTCGTCCCCTTTATTTGAGTGGGAGGTTAGTTTAAAAGCAAAGATTGCTCGTAATCTTATATTTTAATCCCAAGCATGACGGCTGATCTCATTCTTTTTGGCTGAATCCTACCCTTTTTATTTTCATTTTTAGTACCAACGTTAAACTGACTAGGTTTATATTATCTACAGTAGTCCAGCCTTTGGGTATTCTAACCTATGTTTAGTGGTGGATCTAGAAGTTTTTTTAGAGTGTGCACACCTTCGTTAATAAAATAAAATTTTCGTATGAGACGAGCACAAATAAAATTTTAGGGTGAGCATGATTAATTTAAAGATGAGCACAACCAATAAAATATATAATTAACTGAGGAAAATTCATATTTCAGGTGAACACATATCTATTCTAAATTAAGGGTGGATCCACCGTTGCATACGTTCAAAAGTATTAATAAAATAATTCAAAATTTTACTTAATTAGTTCATGAATTCATCCTTTCGGATTTTTATTCAACCTTAATATCTTTAACCCTGAAGATTTCAATTTTTCATATAATTCATGTATTCTTTTTATATTTTCTATTAATTATTTAACTTCGTACTCTTTAAAATTTTATAATTTCATATCTCCCAAAATTTTATTATAACTTTTTAAGTTCATATCCCTAATATAAAATTATACATCTATTTCTCTGTCTCTGTTCCTAAATCAATATGTTTTTAGAAAGAAAGAAAAATAATAATAATAATAATAATAATAATAATCGAGGGGTGTTGAGGACGGTAAAGTTCGAACTTGTAACAGAGGCAAAGTCAAGAATATTATGCTAAGGTCGAGATAAAATTGAAAAAAAAAAGGATGAAGATAAAATAATTATGTCAACCCAGATTAAATTAAATTATTTAATTTTAGAAGGACCAAAAATATTTTTTTATTTATCTTAGGGATAGCAAGAACTGAAGTAAATTATTAATGACTATAATTGTACCCATCAAATGGTCTCAATGGTTAAAGAGAACGTTATTTTCTTTAGAAGTTTTGGATTTGAGCAGTTACGTCTATATGATATATATATATATATTGTTAATGGATTAATAACATTCTGAATAAAAATAAAAAGATATTAAAAGGAGTAATAAAGTATTGCAAGGTTTCTATGGTTGTGTTTTGTGGAAGAAGAAGAGTGGTAGATTGTATCCTTTTAAGCAAAATGGATGATCTATTTAAATCTTTAACCCCAAAAGAAAAGGAACAACCAATACCATTGCTATCAAATTATAAACATGTTCTCTTCTTTCCACCTCTTTTAGGTCATTATCTCTTTCAGATATGATTTTATATCGAAGATTGTTTAAAATTTTATAGATTTATAAATTATCAATAAAAATAATAATAGTAAACCAATTTATGAATTTAGAGTGATTTTTTATACAATATTTAAATTACTTATAATTCTTTTAAATTCTTAAATTAAAATAATTATACTTAAATCTATATATTTAAACATAGAGGGTTTACAATTTTCCTAAGGTGAACACGTGCTGAAATTTAAATCTTCTTAAGTTAATTACATATTTACTAATGATATACATTCTGAAATTTTTATTTATACTCACATCATTTAAAAACTTTGTGTTAGTAATATATATATATATATATATATATATATATATCCACCCTAAACAATATTTCTGAATCCGTTATTGTATTTAAACTCGTTTTTCAAAAGACATCAATGGAATTAAAACTTAATCGTCGGAATGCAATAAAGGGGCATAATAGAATTGTGTTAATGGTGGGGGGAAAACGACAAAGGAGCAACCAAAACTGATATGTTAGAAAAATATGAAAGGAAACAAAAGTGGGGGGAAATGACCAGAAAATGGTGAAGACGGCCGGGAATACAAAAGATAGGCACCACTACCCAAGTTTTCCCAATAATTGAACCATTATTACCACCTAAAAGTTGTCCTAATTTTAAATTACGGGCACTGAAATATATGTGATTATATAATCTTTCTCTTTCTAAATGTCGTTGTAAACCATGCACGTGGAACGTTCAAGAAATGAAATTTTAGGGTTTTGAAATTGTTTGTGATTTCTTTATATATCAAGATAGAAATACAATTATTTCATCCTTCCATATGATAGAATCATGCTAGATGAACATCGAGTGAAATGAAGAATATATATGCATAGTTAAGAGTAGAAGAAAAGTACGTGGATATCTTGAAATAATTTTTTTTTGAGAATATAGATAGGACATAATATTTTATGTTAGAAAACGAATTTACAACATTTTAGAGATAAAAGTAGATTATTAATAAAAATTATTTAAAATAGAGATAATTTGAATTTTTTAAGAAATTATTTTAAACAATCATTTTGAGAATAAATATGGATTGAGATAGGTATCGCCGTATAATGGCTGGGTTAATCAGCAGAACAAGACAGGTTTCGGTGGAGATAAAACCTATCCAATGTTTTATTTTGGAACCAACAGTTTCTTTCCTCAATAATGAAGGTTTCTGGAAGACAATTATAATATTATATGGCAGAATGATTGGAACTTGGAAGTGGATAATTTAATTTTCCTCAGTGGAATATATGTACATTCAATAAGTCTTGAAGGTTGTTTTCGGTTTATGAAGAAGCTTCATGGATCCCTTGTATAAAAGTACTATACATGAAACCAGTTGCGGATGCAAGTCTATTTTAAGGTAGACATTAAAATTTGAATTTTTTCCATTAATTATTTATTATCATAATGGTATCTATATGTCCTATACGAAAAATTTGCGTTCTTGAGCTATCCTGAAAAATGTTTCTAAATCCGTTATGTATGGAACTTGTTTTCTATCATTTGTTCTTATTAATACAAGACGATCTTGGATCTTAGTACATATGTTCAGGGCTCGACCCAAGTTTAGACATGTTATTAGGGGAAGACGATGGTAATAGAATGTCTTGAATTTTAGATTTTTTTCCTTGGCATTAGGTGCAACAACTATTAGATGACCTCATTCACGCCTTGAAATAACAAAAACGTTAGGTTAGGCTTGCACACGTGATTCATGAAAATGTTATTGTGTGTGAAAATAGATGTTAAAGTGTTCAGTAAGAAGTGGAACACTACGTTCTATTAGGGCTCAACATGAACTACCTGCAGACCAGACAGAACTGGAGTTGTGTCTCTTCCTCAATGTTACTATTTGGACTCAACACGTTGGACTGGGTTTTGCTTTATTATCAAATGGACTCTAGGTTAAAGGAGTGTTATTCTCGTTTAAGAATTTAAATTTGACCAGTTATACGTACAAGGTGTGCATACATTATTAATGATTAAAAATACAATCTGAACATATGTTACCCTTATAATCACCCTAAATTATTAAAAAAAAAGTTCAAGCATAACGGCTCTAACTTTTTAACGATAATGACACGCGTCAAGTGAACTAGATCATGGTTTAGGGGATAAATTCGAAATTTAATAGGAAAACAAATGCCAATCCCATGAGGGCAAGGTTCAAATAGAAAACAAATTGATTGTTGACGTAAGGATAAAATTAATTCTCAACAATTGTTAAAAATAATTATTTTTTTATTCTGATATTTTAGTTCACAATATTTAATATTTAATTAAGATAAATCTTGTAGATAAAAATTGATAGTTGATTAATGGTCAATATATATAAACTATTATTGACGTTACACTCTTTCTTTTTTGAATATAAAAGTAGCGCTATTACAGCGGCTAAGTCGGTGTAGAGGAGAGTGGGGGAGGCCTCCTTGCATCAAGCATGACAAAGGATACAGGCTAGGCGGAGGTGAATCAAAAAAACAAATTTCAGACAAGCCAATGGGAGCTAATTTTGTGAGGTTATCAGCAACGGAAATACAAACTCAAGGAACCAACGAAGACATGTCTCCCACGCTTTTTTACGCCACGCGACGATGGCCGTACTAGCAAAAGATGATATGACATGTATCATATTACTCAAAATGATTATATGACACGTTACTAAAATAATGGTATAATATGTATCATATTACCAATTAAAATATGTGAAAATATCACGTAATAACATGTGTTGACAAAAAATTAAAACGTTGAGAGTTAGAATATTAAAAAAAAAGAATAAAGCACAAAGTAATTATTTGTGCAGACATTGGGACTAATTTTGTCCCCTTGATTGTTTTGTTAAGAAAACCCATTCCCATTTCCATGGCAATAGTTTTTTATATCACCAAGTTGAATTCTATGGTGCACTGTTACATGTTGATGGTCAGAACAATAATAAATTATAAATTACCGTAGATGTTTTCAAGTGGTTGAATAAACAAATTAATGGAATGGAATTATTTACAACTTTGAATCTGCCAATTCTGAGAGCTCCAGACCAGATTCTCAGTTTTCACAGGGAAATGGCACACACATATGTCTAGTGTAATAATAGATCTATGCCAAGAAAGATGAAATTCTAAGGACCAGCTACTGTATCTGTAATGAATAATAATCTTAAGTAGCTGATAGATGGAATAAAACCCGAAAAAAGGTCGGAATTCGGAAAAAAACAATTAGAGAACAAGAACTCACCATGGATATCAACATTGATTACCATGATCTTGATTGAAATAGCGTATACTATTGCTAGAAAAAAGAACTAGAGTTCTATTGCTGCCTTTGTATCCTGCAAAAAGAGCTCGGTTTATGCAAATACATACAGCATAAAGTGGATGCAAGCAAATTATGGATGGTTCTCTTACCTATCGAGAAATCAGCATTTAGCGGAACTCATCTTGGTGCCTATAGTAATCTTCACTGTCATTGAAGATGGCACTATAAAATACATATGGGTTATCAATCATCTCAACTAAGCTTAAGCGGCCATCTTTATCCGAATCTGCCTGTGATTAAAATTAACAAAGTCTTCAATGATAGAGCTTATTTTAATCCTTGGGCTTCAGAGGAGGGGTAAAAACTACAAGGTCAAGCCTTTGTTGAGAATGATGTCAAACTTAGAATTTTCATTTCATAGTTGTCAAAAACATTGCAGACATGTCTACAGGATGTGTGTAAGTTGTCATAGGCTAATAAAAGTTCTTAACAGATACTACCTTTAATCAGCCCAGACTATTCAAAAAAGAAACTATGACTTGCAAGAAAATAATTTCCTTATGCAAGAATATTTAATCTAATACAAAAAAATCATAATATTTTAGAATTAAATATAAAACCAATAACAAGAAGAAGAAGAAGAAGTCAATAAGGGTAGTAACCGAGTTATCATCTGTAACACATTAGCATAGTATGTAACGAGATTCCTTGGAAAATGGGTTTTGGCTACCATCCATTACTTTCATATACATTATTATGGAGTTCATAAAGGGGAGCCTAAAACCTTTAGAATTCGCTAGACAGAGACTTAGATCTCTTTTTAGGGTTTTGATAAAAGTTCTGCTTAGCTTTTATTATCCCATACATCTCTTTAAATAGAGATTATAGTAATTAAATAAAGTATATCAAACTAAATAGAGTCAACTATTCTAAGAGTCGTAAAACTTTGTTTATTATAAGAGTGCTACCTAACTTCTCCTAAGAGCCCTACGTCCACCCTACGTCCTAATGGTTTCCTTGGCTATGGTACTACTTAGGCCTGTTTTAAAACAAACCCATCCATTTTCCTATTGCATTATGTTACAAGTACAAATGCACAACTGGCATGGTCTAAATGCAATAAAATAATAATAAAATGGAACATTTGAGAAGTCCGGTATACATCCATGCATAGTAATGCTAAATTATATGGTGTCATAAATACCAGTGATATGATGTAATCTGCTTGTAGTTTTGCATAGTACCGTTCAGATGGATGAAGTTTACCAATTATAGGTAGTAGCTCTTCATCTATCAAGAATCTGCTCAACTACTGGAAATTTATTTAACCATCCAAACAAGTTCCCAATTCAAACATGATACAGAAAATTAAAAGTTCATACAAGCACCTGTCACCATCTTTATCAAGCTGGCTAAACAACAGTTTATCTGGGGTCTCTGTCTCCATTGAATAATGACCTTCTTCATCATGGCTAATTACCAAGTCAAAAATAACATGAAAAAATCCATTAAAGCTAACCTTCCCATCTTTGTCTTCGTCTCTTTCCCTAAAGGAGGAAAAAAGCAAAATTTAAACGCAATAATAGAAAAACAGATCAAATGAAAATGAGAATTAGGGGTGTAAATGCGACACCCAGACTCGCAAGCTATTTGAGTTCAACTCGGAAAAAACTCAAATTTGATTTGGTAATTATCTAGCCGAGCTAGAACAGCTCTAGTTATTGCTGACCCAAATTCAAACACCATAATAATAATACCCAGCTCGAGTGGCTTGCGATCATAATCAAACTTTTCACTCTTAGTTTATTTTCTTATATAATGCAACTGGTTTTCTACTCTTACAATATATATTATTGAATATGAACGAGCTTAATCGTGCTTGAGTTCGAGCTTTAGTACACAAATTGGTAAATGAGTTTAATCAAGCCGAGCTCAAGTAGCATGATTATATCTCAAACTGAGCCCAAGTTTGGAAATTGATGTTCGACCAAGCTCAAGCCGAGTATCAAGCCCCAAGTTTTGAACCGTGCTCGAGCTTACCACTATTCGGGCTCGGCTCGATTACACCCCTACTCGGAATATATAATTTAAGCATAAGTTGGTTCTTTATATTGGGACATAAATGAATATAATGATCACGGGGAAAAGGAAAAGTAATAAAACTCAGATCACCTTACTTCCTCCTTGCATAACCATTGAAGCAGCTTTGGGTTTTTGCTGTCAGCCGGTTGCATAAAGCTAGGAAAATATCAAGCAGAAAATTTAGGGAAAGCAGTAGCAGCAATTGAAAATAACAGCTATCCCTTGGAGTATATTAGTTGAAACTTACTCATTGAAATCGGTTAAATTTAATAAATGATCGCCATTGGCATCTGAGACATTAAAATGATCCTCTGTCCACCAGCCCATATTGTGGCCAAAATATGGGTTGTCTATAGAAAGAAGCACAAATAAGGTAACACCTCTAAATATCACTACTAGGCAAATTAAACAGAAATCAATTACCATATCCAAGTTTTGTAGTAGAAGTCAAAGAATAGATCATGCATGTTTATGGTTTTGTTTTTATGCTATTAATCAGATTCATCGAAAGAATTTTCTAAACTGTAAAAACCCATCTATCAAACAACTCCATCCAGCTAAGAATTTAGGTTAAAAGAAAAACAGAAAATACCAAGATCTCATAAGAAAAGAAAAAAGGTAAAGCACGAAGGATAAGTTCCACAGCATGATATCTATAATTTAGTAGCATAATGGTATAGACAACAGACCATTCTTCACGCAACTGGGAGCCTCATACTTAGCATATGAAATTAACCCATCATTGTTTCTGTCATGAATTTCCATCTCCCTCAAATTCCTGAACAATACTTCTTTCGTAGCCTGCTGCAGATGCCACTCAATCAATTCATTCTCAGTCACAAAACCATCTGCTGGGTCTACATCAATCTTGGGGAACAGCAATACCAACCTGTTCATTACATTAAACCTCCATTCAATAAATATCGTCCAAAATGCTACTGCCCATGATGCTTACATTTCCAACAAATCATCACAAATATATTCATTCTAGAAGACATTCACAAAGGAACTAAGCAAACTAACATCTCAATATTGTCAAGAATGAAGACGCCAAGCATTGATACTCATTCAAATATGCAATTAGAAATAATTAAGCATACTCACAGAAACTTGCAATAATGAAGACACCTAGCATGCTTTCTGTAAAGCATATAAACCATTAACTAAAATTGATAATCTAAGTAATGAAGACACCTAGCACATAATTAGTATAATTGATAATCTAATTAGAACATCTTTCACTAAAATTGGAACTTAAAATATTAACTGAAGCTGCAAAATTTAAATCCTTAGTAACCAATAAAAGTAGTAACATGAATTTAAAATTAAATGCAATATTACCAACCTATTAGTTACGTTAAATTTGTCCCCATAATTCAAGTAATCTTCGGCATTCATGAAATCATCCAACTCCGGCTGCGATTCTTCGGCGGGAGCGGGGTGCTGTAAGAACTCAGGATGGGAATGCTCCAAGTACTGCTTCTCCCATTGGTTGTCTTCACGGCGGCGCTCGATCTCGGCGACGAGGGGATCAAAAGCAACGGGATCGTGATGGGTGGAGGAATAACGGAGCTTGAGGCGGCGGCGGTGGTTGCTGGTGGAGTGTTTCTTAGGGGAATAAGAGATGAGATAGAGGATTAGAACGGCCAATGTAATGTATACGATGACTGAATCTTTTCCCATTGCCTGGGGAGTAAACAAAAGTTAATATTGAGGACTGTGAAAGGAGAAGATCAATTGCTAGGAATTATCAATTATGCGAAATTTGATTAGCAAACAATAACATATTCTCATCCGATGAAAAATGCAGAAAAAGAAGACAAGTACTGTTTCAGTATGGTGTGGTTGTGGACATTTGAACGCCTACTGCTACTCTAATTTATTTTGCATTAAAAATATAATATAAAAAATATCTAAATTATATCTCTTTTTCATTTTTGAGTGTCTAGCTTACGAACATTATTATTTTAAGTGCAAGCCGTAAAAGATATTAAAATTCCATTAAATAACACGTGTGACGTTAATATTTTTAAAATATTTTATTTTTTATTTTTTAAAATATATATATAATTTTTTTAAAAATCTCTAAAATCTCATTTAGGCATGAAAAATAGTATAATTTAAACAATAATTTTTATATTAAGCCTTAAAAATATAAATAACTTATAAAAATATCACTATTATATATACATATATATATATGTGGGGTTTTTTTATAAATTAAAAAAATTATATGTTGAAAATTAAATATTCAAATTTCAATGACAGATTTTATTGATATGAAAGTTATAAGATTATTTAGTGTATAAATTAACATTAAATATTGGATATGTTTATATTAGTGAAATTATTATAGTTATCAAACAAAAATATAACTTAAATGTTCTAAAATTTTCCCAGATCAAATAAAGAGACCCAACTTATCCCAATGGTTTGATTATGATCCTAAATCTTCTTAAATGTTTGTATCATCATAAAATTCTTGTTTTCCTTCACTTAATTAGGTTCGATCCCCACCTAAATGAGATCTAATTTACTTCAATGATTGAATTAAGATCTTAATCCGGCTTAAGATTATTTCATGTCAACCTCCATACGTTGATTTAAAAATTCAAACCGTTATATTATAATATAAATATAAAATGAAAAGTCTCTTAAAGAAGGTTAAAGGACTGTCAATTGTGACGAAATAGTTAAAGAGATTTCGAAAGAGGCTGGTGTTTATGTGATCATAAGTAATTCTGAAAGAGAATTAATTGATAACTGTGAAAAAATATCATTGCTGAAGCAATTATTATAACAAAAGCCATGGTGGTCAAAGAAGGGTTTAAGTTAGCAAAAACGAAACAAGTTCAATAAAATTGTTATAGAAATGGACTCAGAGGTTCTTTGTAAAGATGTGATCATATTTAAGGAAAATAATACTTGGAGGATTGTGTTAATTGTACAATATATATAAATATTGGTTCATTATTTTTTACTCTGTCATATTTATTAACATCAAACGTGAACGTGCATGTTGAGTTGAGTTTCATCATCTATTTCTTTTTGTTCTTCATCTAGAACAAAGATGGTTTACTAGCTCTACATTGATTGTTCTTCATCTAGAAAGTAAAACGCCAACTCAGAAAGCTTCAAATCCGCAGTTTGAGAGTTTCTAATGACTTGCATAGATATATGTTCTTCACGCGCAATCTTATATAACTTATTCTGTCATTTTCTACTGATCAACTAAAGTTTCAGGAAATGCAGCGGCATTGAAGAATGCACTTTTTTTCTTTTAACAAAGAGACCGTTGTCGGAACTTGAGGATGATGAAAGGAGTTGTAGATACTCTCAATGTTACATTTTTTTCAAAAGATAATTGCACGAGTCAACTGGGTTATATGTCAGTTCGAGACCCAGGGGATAATGAAAGTTGAACTCAACTTTGTTTGCTGAACATGTTGGACAATGTCTCAAAGAAGAAATTGGATCTTTCCACAATCTTGTCATGACATCATCTTTTTCTTTTAAATGATATCTGTCTTTACAAGACTATGCTTTACCTTTACTATTTTTTTATGAGCAACGGGTGACTCATGCAAAAAAGAAGAAGAAAAGATTCAATCCCACGCACCAACACTATTAAAATGAAGCTAAACTGCTAGCTATAAAGACTGCCCTTGAGCTGTTTGCTGGCTCTCAATGGCTAATTAACAAGACGTTGGTGGTGGAGTCTGACTCCAGGATTTGCAGTCACGTGGGCAAGAAAGAGAGAGAGCCGACCATGGAGGCCTTGCACAAGCTTCAATGAGGTCGATCAACTGACGAATGTAAAAATGGTTTTTATTCAATTGAACTCCATAGACAAGGATAGGAGGCATCTAGCATCCGCGATATCACCAGTGTCAAAGATGGAGATATTTCAGAACCCCAAGGATCAACAATTGAATTGTGCTGCAGCTGGAAGTTCGTATGAAAAATCAGTAAACACCCCCGACATTCTGCTGCAGCAGCTAGTTTGCCATGTGTGGTGCTCCAACCATAGGGCAACCAATATATGAGCCCCCTTGTCCCAGCAGTTGTCCTGCAACATACCCAATGCTGCATGCTTCTTCTCTGGTGCATCCATTACAATTAGAATAGTCAAGGCTCAGAAGTTTCATGGGAAAAAGAAACTATCAAGTCTTTTTATCATATTTTTTATTATGAGCAGAGAACATGATTATTCATGAAAATCTTGTATAAAAAAAACTGAATATAACTGTTGCAGACATATGCTCGTTTCTGCTTTCGCACTCGAATCCAAGTAACATATCCTAAGAATAAAGTGCTATATTAATGATATTGTTATGGAGCAGTTGTTGGTTTCCTGATCTGCTAAGAAGTCGAATAGTATATTATGTTGCAAATTTTGATCAACGTGGCTATGATTTATAATAGGAGCATTACATTCTCCCCAAAAATTATATGAACATTTTTCTGCCAAAGATTTTTGCCTAAGTATTTGTTGGAGACTGAAGTAGTATAGTGAACTTTAAAGTCCTGAAAGTTACTAAAAAAAAGTCAAATTTTATGGATAGTACCTTCACTTTATGCAGATAGCGGAATTAGTTCTTATACTTCAATTTGTGTATTTTGCTCCCTCTACAGGTTTAGAAATTTCAATCCTACTATTATCTGCTATTTGCAATTTTCGTTATTTTGGCGTTGTCAATTCTTTAATGTTTTTTACTTTTTTATTGGTTGATTTGGCAAGATTCTATGTCTTGGATTGAGATTTCCCAACCCGCAGAGTAGAGAACCAAAATTACTCGTATTAGAGTAGAGGACTAATTCAACAACCTACTTAAAGTATATGAACTATTCATAAAATTTGACCAAAAAAGTGTCACGTTACCAACTTTCTTGGCCACCCTAGGAACCAAAACTTTGTTGAATTCATGGGAACCTGGAAGCTTAATGCCGTCACTATTATTTGAAGATGGGCGACATGACATATTCAGGGACAACGTAAGATTTTATGTTAGATGACGAACTTTTAAAATTTTAGGAGACGACAAACTTATAAAATTCTAGGTGCGAAACAGATTATTAATAGAAAATACATTAAAAAATCTAAAAGATATGATAATTTAAAATTTTCAGGGGACTGCCCCAGCTGTCCTTCGTCCATCTCTGGACATATCTCAAAAACGTTCCACCTTCACTCACTGCATTATCATATTTTTTATCCATGCAATTTGTTCCTCAAATCTCTACTAATTTTCACTCTTTTTTTTCTTCTTATATCAGTATTAAAGCAGTTGCAGACATCAGAAAGCTGCAATGCCAACTCAGAAAAGCATCAAATCCATGATGTCTGTTAGGATCTTTTCTGGTTTTAAAAGGTTGTCTCAACTACTCAGCCTTTCATTTTTTGCTTTTAAATATTATCTTTATCCTTTTCTGATGAGCAATAGGTGACTCATGCAAACAAAAAAGTTATGTTCAGCCATCCCTTTAAATACCATTACCCAAATCCAAAGTTTCATCAATCATCACAAAATATAACATCTATTCCTTGATCATAGAAGCTGAAAGGTAACAAGATTTCCATTTCATTCATCAGAAAAAATGAAGATCCGGATGCCTGATCAGGTCATTGGAGTACCAATGAAATCATCAGCATATCAAATTGAGGAACACCGAGATGCTACTTACCGGATGCTGCTGGCCAGTATCGAATTCCATCACCTGCTGAAGGGTCTAACACATTTAGAAAAAGTAGGTTCTCTACTTTAATCCGTGAAGGGTTTTGAAACTCATAATGAAGATGTTTTATAGTGCTAATGAGAAAGTTATGGAATTTCAGGCAAAGGAAATTTTGTACTTAAACGGATGAACAAGCTTGGGAAGAAGGCTGATACTTTCGCACATGGAATCCGAGAACATGGTATGATACACACACTCAAGTCTAAACATATCATTTATACATATGTAAACTAAATTTAACTTTGAAAATGCAGTGAGGCTGGGGCCAAAGATCACTGAAACTGTGAAGGGAAAGTTGAGTTTAGGGGCAAGAATTCTTCAAGTAGGAGGTGTGGATAAGATATTCAAAGCAGTTGTTTTGTGTCGGAGAAGGAGAGAAGCTGTTGAAGTCATGCCAATGCTATTTATCAACAACAGCAGGTCCCTTAGCGGGATTGCTTTTCGTCTCATCTCAAAAGGTGGCCTTTTGCAGTGACAGATCAATCAAAATCCCATCTCCTAATGGAGAATTTCTCAGAGTCCATTACAAGGTTTGTGTATTTCGTCTGTTTCCCCCCCTCTCAGACTGTATAATTTTGCACCCTTCAATCCTGATGTTATATATCAATTTGGATGCAGGTTTTGATTCCAATTGAGAAAATAAAGGGTGTTAATGAGAGTGAAAACATGAAGAAGCCATCACAAAAGTACATGGAAATCGTGACCGTGGACGATTTTGAATTCTGGTTTATGGGGTTTTTGAATTACCAGAAAGCTCTCAAATACCTTCAGCAAGCAATCTCCCAAAGACTATGCATGATGTACTACAAGTCACTTTCTAGGTGGCTTGCAACAGCCTAGCCCTTTGTTTTTCATCAGATTGTTTTTGTCGTTGAAATGTTAAATACGGAAAAAGAAAAAAAAATGTTACATATGGAAGATTTATGGGTCAGACAGCATCTCAACTCCACTCTTCATTTCTTAGGCATTCTCTGATGCATCCACTAGAACTAGAACTAGAATAGTCAATACTCTTGGAAAAAGTGTAATTAAAAAAAATAAAACTAACATGTTTTGCTATCATG